TGCTAATAACGGTTAGCGTAGATGAGGATGTGTAGGAGGAGGATGCTAATAACGGTGAGTGTAGATGAGGATGTGTAAGAGGAGGATGCTAATAACGGTGAGCGTAGATGAGGATGTGTAAGAGGAGGATGCTAATAACGGTGAGCGTAGATGAGGATGTGTAGGAGGAGGATGCTAATAACGGTGAGCGTAGATGAGGATGTGTAAGAGGAGGATGCTAATAACGGTGAGCGTCGATGAGGATGTGTAAGAGGAGGATGCTAATAACGGTGAGTGTAGATGAGGATGTGTAGGAGGAGGATGCTAATAACGGTGAGCGTCGATGAGGATGTGTAGGAGGAGGATGCTAATAACGGTGAGCGTCGATGAGGATGTGTAGGAGGAGGATGCTAATAACGGTGAGTGTAGATGAGGATGTGTAGGAGGAGGATGCTAATAACGGTGAGCGTCGATGAGGATGTGTAAGAGTAGTTGAGTGATTGAAAAGTTGCCGCTGATCATAATAAGTGAGATCGGAAAGTCCGGGAATCACTTTCCCCCGGGCGTAGATCGATGGAGGGTGCCTCTACGGGGCAGCACTAGTGTTAAGATTAGGGTTAGGGTTAGGGTTAGGGTTAGGGCAATAAGTGTATAATAATATAATAATATAGGGAAATAAGTGTACGAAGTGACTAGTGCTGCCACATAGCGGCACTTTTCATCTACGCCAGGGGGAAAGTGACACCCGGAAAGTCCAGCTGTGCTATGTAGGTCACAGAAAAAAAGGGGTATAAAATGGCGGAGGCGCGCATAGGAAAGTACATGATTAATGTAAACACTCATGCGTTTTTAGTTTTTGCGTTAACACAAACATTGCAAAATATCCCAAACGACCACAATCGTATTTGTAAATGTTTATGTAAACAGAAACGCACATGTGAATTGAATTGAAGTACGATGTTAGTGAAGAGAATTATAGATCAAAACCCTAGAATAGTCCTATCCTACCCATGTTATAAAAGGGCTGTTTACACCCCCTCTTATCTGATCTCAATATGGCGGCGGGGACTTTCCGATATGGCTTATATATGATATGGCTTATAACGAGAGAGAAGGATACAAAGAAGACTCTGTCTGACTCTTCGACGACCTTCCTCTCTTTCAGCAGGTGGCGGCGGCGGCCGACGACAAGGCGGGCAAGCGAAGAAGAAAAGATATTTATGTATACCCAAGGGGAGAGACAGGGAGAAGAGAAGAGAGAGATAGCGGGAGAGAGGGAAGAGGCGAGATGAGAGATAGAGCGAAGGCGAGAGGAGAGATGAGGAGCCGATGGAGAAGGACAGAGTAGGCGAGAGACGAAAGAGAGGTGAGGGATGGGCCACCCCCGGGGGTTAGTATCGGGTGGCGGTGTCTGCGACGTACAGCACACAACTCTCTGCGTTTGTCTGTGGGAAGGAGGCAAGAAAAGACTATTTTATACCTAAGGGGAGAGACAGGGACGATAGAGGAGGAGAGAGACGGATTGGAGAGAGAGAGAAACGATGATGAGAGAGAGAGATGAGAGAAGAGAGAAGAGAAGGGCCGGTGAGGTGGTTAGTAATGGGGGCAGGTGTCGTGAGCGGTCAGCCACCACCACTGCCTGCTTGTCGCTGCGGGAAGGAGGAAGATAATGGATTATTTAAAATACCAAGGGCGAAACACGGAGAGGAGAGGGTTCACCCCACTCCCGCTGGGGCTGGGTTCGCGCACGTACAGCCACCACCCTTCGCTGCTCTGTCCTGCCGGAAGGATGGAAGAAAGGATATTAAAATACCAAGGGGGGAGAAAGAGAGAGAGAGGACTGAGAGGGCGAACCTGGGGAGGGGTTAGCTATGGGGGCGGTGTCTTGCCACGTACAGCCCTCCACTCGCTGCTTGTCTGCGGCGAATGGAGAAGAAGGATATTAAAATACCCAGTTGGCCGGAGAGAGAGATGACGAGAGAGAGCACCCTGCGGGAGGGGGTTAGGTATGCGGTAGGCAGTGCTCTGCCAACTGTACAGCCACACACTCCTGCTAGTCTCTGCGGGATAAAAAGGACAGAATAAGCATTTACCGAGTATACCCAAGGAGAGAGAGAGAGGGGGAGGGGGTTAGTATGGGGGCAGTGTCTGCCACGTACAGCCACCACCACTCCTGCTTGTCCTGCGGGAAGGAGGAAGAAAGGAAGTATTTAAAATACAAGGGGAGAGACAGGTGAGGACGTCGGGGGGTGGAGGGGATAGTATGGATGCGGTATCTGCCAGTCAAGGCCATTCACCACTCGCTGCCTTGTCGTGCCGCTTATGAAACGAGGAAGAAGCTAATTATTATACCCATAGGGCGGAGAGAGCAGAGAGATTGGAGAGAGGGTGGAGAGGAGAGGGGGAGGGGGTATTAGTATGTGGGGCGGCTGTCCCGAGGCACTTACAGCCAACCACCAACTCCTGTTGATCTGCCCGCGAGGGAAGTAAGAAAAGATCCATTATTATACCCAAGGACGAGACACAGGGGAGGAGAGGGTTATTATGGAGCGGCGTGTCTGCACGCTACAGCCACCACCACTCCTGCTTGTCTGCGGGGGAAGGAGGAGAAAGGATGATTATTATACCAAGAGAGAGAGAGAGAGAGAGAGAGAGGAGAGAGAGGGAGGGAGGTTGTTATGGGGGCAGTGTCTGCACGTACGCCACCAGCACATCCTTGCTTGTCCTGCGCGAAGGCGGAAGAAAGGATTATTATTATATCCATGGAGATGATAGAGAGAGAGGGGGTGTGAGGGGGTTCCAGTATTGGAGAGTGGTGCCTCATATAAGAGAAGGGGAGGCAGATCCTCACCTCGGGGAGTGCCGGACAGTGGCCGCATTGTGAGCATCTGCTGACTTCGTCCTTCAACGATCTCCTTGCGCTTCTTCACGTTGAAGCGTGGTTCCCAGTCGTCGATCCTCAGCCTCCCCCTCGTGGCCGTCCTCTGTCCCGTGATTGGGGTCTCCCTGGAAACGGATAGAGATGTATCGTGAGTTACGTTTGGGCGACGAAGGCGTATGTTGCGGGCGGAATTTACGTAATTGCAAATTCCGTGCCGTTGGGATCGGCAAGCTGTTTTAACATGCGTCGGTGGAAAGGAATTTTGATTACCCGATCGGCAATCTGATGGAGAAATCGCGAAAAATGTCGCGTTAGCGTACTGTCGTGTATAGAACGGTTAATCGGAATCGGAGTCGGATTTCGCCGGCTCTCGAATACATTCCAATGTCTCCGTCGCTTCCTTTCCTTTGACTATTCGTCAGACCCGTCTTTGTCTCGACCGCTGTCAGATCAGACTTCTGTAATAAACAGGAGTTGTCCTGTCACGGGATTGCAAGAAGCACAGAAGGATGACATCATGGTATTGCCGAGAGCATCAGAGCGGGACTGACATCATGGGATTGCGAAAGAGCAGCAGAGCCGATGACATCAGCGGAGCTCGGAAAGCGCAGCAGCGATTCGTTAAAACTCGTCCAATCGTGCGTATTGTGGTGAAAAACAAAAGGCCCGCAGTCGCGGTGGCGATGGGATGCGGCGCCAGCCTGGCGGTTTTTCGTACCAGCGGGCCCGGTTGCGGCGTCGGCGCCTCCTGCGCGCCGACCGTTTGCACGACGTTTCGCTAAGACGGTCATCTTCTCTCCGGCTTCTTCTTTTCCTCTCCCGGGTTTTCCCATTCTTCTCTATCTGCCTTCTCCACGCCTTGGGCTTCTCTCCTTGTTCTGGGTNTGGTGGCTGTACGTCGCAGACCGGCGGCACCGCGCGCTCGTCACCGCACCCTACCTAGTCACGAACCTCATCACAGAGGAGGAGGTGCTGCTGAAATTCGCCGCGCCGAGCCGGCCGGGCGTGTACACTTACTCCGTGATATGCCGCAGCGATTCGTACGTCGACACAGACATCTACAAACACATAAAGGTGCGTAGCTAGAGGGAGGGAGGAAGGAGGGAGGAGGAGGGAGGGAGGGAGGGAGGGAGGGAGGGAGGAGGGAGGGCGTGTACGACTTACTCCGTGATATGCCGCAGCGATTCGTACATCGACACAGACATCTACAAACACATAAAGGTGCCGTATGCTAGAGGGAGAAGGAGGGAGGGAGGGAGAAGGGACGGGAGGCCAATGGAGGAGGAGGGAGGGAGGAGGGAGGGAGGGAGGGGCGGAGGGCCGCGTGACACATAAAGGTGCCCGTTAGCTAGAGGGAGTCCAGGGAGGGAGGAGGGAGGAGGTAGGGAGGAGGAGGGAGGCGCGCGTTTTACAAATTACTCCGTGATTATTGCCGTCAGCGCATTCGTTAGCTCGACACAGACATCCTACCAGAACACATAAAGCTGCGGAGCTAGAGGGAGGGAGGGAGGAGGCGAGGAGCGGAGGAGGACGCTGTGTGCATGGTGTTGGCAGGGAGTGGAGTGGAGGGAGGAGGGAGACGAGGGAGGGGGAGTGGGGCGCGTACACTTACTCCGTGATATGCCGCGCAGCGATTGTTAGTAACGTCGACACAGATCATCTACAAACACATAAAGGTTGCGCCTCAGCTTACCGAGGGAGGGTAGGCAGGAGGTGTATGGAGGGAGGAGGGGCCGAGGGAAGGGGAGGGAAGGCGAGGGAGGGAGGAGGGAGGGCGCGTACACTTACCTCCGTGAATACTGCCGCAGCATTCGTTACGTCGACACAGACACTACAAACTACATAAGAGGGTGCGTAGCTAGAGGGAGCGGAGCGAAGGCAGGAAGGAGGGAATGAGGGAGGGAGGGATGGAGGAGCGGACGGAGGAGGTTGGCAGGGGTACGTGCTGGTCTACAGGGAGGCGTGTTACACTTTACTCCGTGAATATGCCGCACCGCGATTCGTACGTTGACACAGACATCTACAACACATAACAGGTTGCGGTAGCCTAGAGGGAGGGAGGAAGGAGTGAGGTCAAGTGGACGGAGTGGAGGGAGGGAGGAGCGGACGGAGGAACGATTGGACGCGGATCCTCGTGTAACTCTACACGTGCCTTACTCCGTGGAATAGTCCCGTCTCTCGCAGCGCCAGTTCTAGTATCGTCTGAACAGGACATGCTACAAACTACATGAAAGCGTGCATCGTGAAGCTACGAGGCGACGGAGGCTGCGTCGAGGGACGGAGGACATGGAGGGAGGGAGCGGAGGGAGGGGGAGGGAGGGAGGTACAGGACGGTGTACACTTACTCCGTGACTATCTACTGCGGCAGCGCGATTCGTACTCGACACAGATCTACAAACACATAAAGTCGTGGCTTCGTAGCTAGAGGGGAGGCAGGGGGAGCGGACGGGAGGACGGGGAATCGTACGGGGTAGGGAGGCTAGGGAGGGAGGAGGAGTGTCAGTATTGATTTGTGCAGGGCATGCGGAGGGAGGAGCGGTTACACTGTACTCCGTGATATGCGCTAGCGATTCGTACGTCGACACAGACATCTACAACACATACAAGGTGCGTAGCTATGAGGGATGGGGAGGGAACGGAGGGAAGGAGGGATGGAGGCGAGGGAGGAAGGAGGGAGGAACGGAGGGGGAGGAGGAGGGCTGCGTACACTACTGCCGTGATTATGCCCGCAGCGATTCGATACGTCAACCACAGACATCTACAAACACATAAAGGTGCGTAGCTCAAGAGGGAGGGAGGAGGAAAGGAAGGAAGGAGGGAGGGGACGGAGGAGAGGGAGGAGGGAGGGAGCGGAGCGAGGGAGGGAGGGAGGGAGGAGGGAGGGAGCGGAGGGAGGCAGGAGGGGGAGGGCCTGTTGTACACGTACCTCCTGTGATATGCTGGCGCGCAGCGATTTCGATACGTCGACACAGACATTACAAACACAGTTAACAAGGGCCTGCGGTAGTACTAGAGCGGGAGGGAGGGAGGCGACGGTAGGGAGGACGGGCAGGAGCGAGGGAGGGAGGTGGGAGGGGGAGGGAGGGCGGCTGACACTTTACTCCGGTGATATGCCGCCAGCCGAATTCGACGTCGACACAGACATCTACAAACACATAAAGGTGCGTAGCCGTAGAGGGAGGCGGAGAAAGGAGGGAGGAGGGAGGAAGGACGGGAGGGAGGAGCGAGGGACGCGGCGCGTACATACACTTACTCCGCTGATATGCCGCAGCGATTCGACGTCCCACGACACAGACATCTACCAAACACGATAAAGGTGGCGTAGCTAGCAGGCGAGGGAGGAAGGGAGGAGGAGAGAGGAAGGAGGGAAGAGAGAGAGAGGGGCAGTGTTACACTTTACTCCTTGATATTGCCCGCCAGCGATTCCGTACGGTACACAGGACACTCTACAAACACATGGTGCACGTAGCTAGAGAGGGAGGAGGAGGAAGGGAGGAGGCAGGGAGGGAGGGCGTGTACACTTACTCCGTGATATGCCGCAGCGCACGATTCGTACGTCCGACACAGGAATCTACAAAAATCACATAAAGGTGCGTAGCTAGAGAACGGGTGTGTGGGAGCGACGAAAGGAGGGAGGAGGAGAGGAAGGAGGACGGGAGGTAGGGAGGGAGGGCGCGTACACTTACTCCGTGATTATTGCCCGCCAGCGATTCGTAGCGTCGACAAGACATCTACAACACACATAAAGGAATGCGTAGCTAGAGGGAGGGAGGAAGAGAGGCGAGGGGAGGAAGGAAGAAGGAGGGAGGGAGGTGAGGAAGAGGGAGGGGCAGGAGGCGGGGAGGCGAGGGCGCGTTACACTTACTCCGTGATAATGCCGCAGCGAATTCGTACGTCGACAACAGACATCTACAAACACTAAAGGTGCGTAGTAGAGGGAGTGAGGGAGGGAGGAGGGAGGAGGCGAGGAGGGAGGGAGGAGCGCGCGTACCACTTACTCCGGTGATATGGCCGCAGCGACTTCGTACGTTCGACACAGACATCTTACAAAACACATAAAAGGTTGCGTAGCTAGAGGAGGGAGGAAGGACGGTTAGGGCAGGAAGGAGGGAGGGAGGGAGGAGGGAGGGGAGGGCGTGTACACTTACTCCGTGATATGGCCGCAGCGATTCGTACGTCGACACTGGACATCTACAAACACAGTAAAAGGCGTAGCTAGAGGGAGGGATGGAAGCAGGGGAGGGAGGGAGGAAGAAGAAGGAGGGAGCGAGGGAGGAAGAGGGAGGCGAGGAGGGCGAGGGCCCAGTTGAGGGCGGTACACCTTACCTCCGTGATTATGCCGCAGCGATTCGTACGTCGACCACAACAATAATTAAACACAGTTAAAGGCTGGCGCTAGCTAGAGGAGGGAGGGAAGAGGGAGGCGAGGGAGGAAGGGAGCGGCAGGAGGGGAGGGTCACTATGGGGAGGAGACGGAGGGCGCGTACACTTACTCGTGATATGACCGCAGCGATTCGTACGTCGACACAGACATCTACAAACACCCATAAGGTGCGCTACCGCCTAGAGGATGGAGGGAGAGGACGGAGATGGGAGCGACGGAGGGGGGAGGGAGGGAGCGAGGAGGGAGGAGGGAGGGCGTGCTACATTACTCCGTGATATGACGCAGCGATTCGTATACGTCGCACACTGACATCTACAAACACTATAAATGGTGCGTAGCTAGAGGGAAAGAGAAGAAGGGTAGGACGGAGGGAGGGACGGAGAGGGAGGGAGCGGAGGGATGGGAGGACGTGGAGGAGGGCGTGTACACTTCACTCGTGCATTATGCCGACGGATTCGTACGTCGACACTGACATCTACAAACAGCATAAAGGTGCGTAGCTAGAGGGAGGAGAGGAAGGAAGGAAGGAGGGAGGAGGGAGGGATGGAGGGCGTGTACCATTACTCAAGTGACCATTATGCGAGCTGTCCCTTCTGCGGAGTTTACCCTTCTGCGGAGGTGACCCTTCTGCGGAAGCGACCCTTCTGCGGAAGCGACCCTTCTGCGGAGGTGACCCTTCTGCGGAGGTGACCTTTCTACAGAGGTGCTGACCTGCGCCACACCTTCCTCTTTACTTGCAGCTGGAGGTGAAGGAGGCTAGACAGGTGGAGGACCACCCTCAGTGGGACATCAGCGACGACGACGACGACGCCAAGGAGGAGGACGTGACGGACGCGTCCGACTACACGACCGATTCCGACGACTCCGACTAGACGCGCGCCGGCGGCGCCACCTGTCCGCGGGACCGCGAGTTACGCGCGCGCGCGCGGCGTGGGGCGAAATGTCGCGAAATGTGGAGATGTGCGGGCGTGCGGGCGGGCGGGCGGGCGGACAGGCAGACAGACAGGCTGGCAGGCAGGTAGGCAGGCAGGTAGGCAGGCAGGCAGACAGGCTGGCAGTCAAGCAAACAGGCAGGCAGGCAGACAGACAGACAGAAAGGCAGGCAGGAAGACAGACAGGCAGGTAGGCAGGTGGGCGGGCAGGCAGGCAGGTGGTCAATCAAACAGGCAGGCAGGCAGGCAGCTAGGCTGGCGGTCAAGCAGCCAGGTGGGCAGTCAAGCAGACAGACAGACAGGCAGGTAGGCAGACAGACAGGCAGGCAAGCATGCGCGCAGCTACGCTGGTGGTCAAGCAGGTAGGTGGGCAGTCAAGCAGACAGACACAGACAGACAGACAGGCAGGCAGGTAGGCAGGTAGGCTGGCGGTCAGGCAGACACAGGCAGGCAGGCAGCTAGGCTGGCGGTCAAGCAGGCAGGTGGTCAGTGAGAGAGATCGGTCATTCGGTCAGACCGCGTTGTGACACGTGGTCACCACGGTTACCGAGGCCGGGCGCCACCTAACAACAGAAGCAGACGCAAGCTGCATCACGTTGCCGTGGAAACGAACGACGGCTCGGGGAGGAGGTTAGGATATTTATTTTACACGAGAGAGTCTGAAGGCGAGATAGTTAGAGAGAGCGTTGGAAGGAGCGATGGACAGAGCGATAGATAGAGAAAGAGAGTCTGAAGGAGAGATAGATAGAGAGAGCGTTGGAAGGAGAGATAGATAGATAGAGAGAGTCGGAATGAGAGATAGATAGATAGAAAGAGTCCGAAGGAGAGATAGAGATAGAGATAGAGAGAACGCGAGATTTTTCAAGGCGGGATACTTCTATACTCCTCTTGCTCCTCTGCTCTCGTACGCTTCGAATCACAAACGCGTCGGTCAAATCTCCGTCTAATACTCCTCGCTCTCTCATCACTCTCAAACTCCGTGCAAAACACCCTTGCATTTCCACGCCAGATCCTCACACAATAGTCAGCCACGGCACTGTACCAGCTGCGGCGCACTAGCAACGACAAAATCGATCACCCATTCTGACCGTATTGAGTGAACCGAAAGCCCGGAGACACCGCGAGGCTAAGAAACAGAGCCACGAGCCACGTTCAGCTAAGGTTTAACGACTGCAATGTTTATCACAGGCCTTGGGAAATCGGAAGCGGGATCCATCATCGTAACATGCCTGTTGACGGTGCCGTACGTAGCTCATAAACGGCATCCGTGCCGTAACGCTGGAGGCGGTCACAAGTTCGAGCAGCCAGGAATGCTTAACATAATTTTCCGACCGCAGAGAATAACACGAAAAACTATGTGTTATGCCCAAGCAGGTGTCTTGGGCAAAGTGAAAGCTTCGTAACCACCTTATTCTCGTAACTACTTTCCGCTGCGTTCATCCAATCTCTGTCTCTGTCTCCTCCCCTCCCTCTCAATACACTGTACTTCTCCTCATTTCATCGACGATCGCGTCCTATCTACTTACTATACTTACATGGTTCACACACGGGTTCTCAAGTTGGGTCGCTGTCATATAAATATGATCTCATATGTAAGCAGTGTTAGTCACTCCCATCGCTTAATTACGTTATTCAGAATCGCTGATTCGTTAATATCATATTGATCGTGCACATGTTATTGCGTCGATTTCTTACCTCAACTGTTATATTCGTGTCCCCAGTTCATTCATCCTTAGGTAGGTAATGTGCTGAAGTCATTCAGGTGCACGACCTGCCATTTTCCGCCACGCATCCCGGACTCCCGCAGCTAGTATTATCCTATCCACATATGTCTCACTATACCTGATACGTCGCTCTCCCGGTGACGCACAGGAGCATCCCGTCTCACCTCCCTACATCCACAGCACATACACTGCCCGCTATGTAGTTCCTGCCCAGAAGACGTTATTGGTGTTGTCGAATATATTGTATGTGCTACACGCACTCACCAGCGAACACGACTGCATCTGAGGAACGATTCATTACATGGCATATTGCACGTCAAATCTGAATTGCACCTCTCTACGAGTGCAATCTCTTTCTACCTCACCAAGTATTTTCCCCAAAGCGGCGACACACGAAGTAGATACTAACTTTGCATTTCACGCACTACGATAAATGCATTCACCATAATATTTTTATGATTCCCAAATCTACGCAGCATAGTCTATATTCAGCTTCGTCTACTTATCCTTTTTGAGCGATCTATCGCAAAGGTTTGTGGATAGATTTTTAGTGAATAGTGCATGATCTTTATCATCATACCTGACTGTACGCTTCATTCTCTAAACTGGTTTACAAAATCTTGGGCCCCCTGTTAATAGAATTGCTTTAAAGACTATACCCCTGCGATTAGTCTCCAGCGCTGGCTTTCGCTAAGCTGACCCATTGACGACAACTCGGCAACCTTTGCGATCATCCGAGTCCCAGATGTATTCTGGAACTCCAAGCGTGCGGCGAGACTTCTGTTCAAAACATTCCCAGCAGCGGCCAAATGTTGGCCTGCATGGTAAACACCCAACGAGAAGATCCTCAGCCAGCAATTGTTATTGTTCATTTTCGGTAATAAATTAAAAAATAACCCAGATAAGGCCAGAAAAAAAAAAAAAAAAGAAAAAAAAAAAAAAAAAAAAAAAAAAAAAAAAAAAAAAAAAAAAAAAAAAAAAAAAAAAAAAAAAATTAATGACGTGTCAATGACACTATAGCTCACCCTTTGGGGTGTGATACGAAGAGGATGAGTGATATTTAAAATTTGGGCAAGTCGTTCATCTTATATGAAACAGACCGAAAGTGATGCAAGATAATGTCCTTTATTCCGTTTTCATAGTAATCAGAAATTTGCAGCCTGTTTTGTTTCAGAGTTAGTTTGATGGCCGATACATAAAGTTCAGATCATGAAAAGTCTGAAACTCTCTATCGCAGCGAGAAATGGCGTCTTACTGGCTCCCTTATCACATCGATCGTCTCCCGCCTATTCTCTTGCTTTTCCGATATGCGCCCATGAGCGAATAATACACAACACATACAAGATATTGCCAGAGTCCAAATCAAATGACAAGGTAACGCAAGACATCAATGGATCGATAACAAAAAGGATGATACTATAGGTACTAGCCAATTCTAAGTGCTACTGATTAGGACTTTATTCTTCAGTATGCAATATAGGAGATATAACGAGCTGACAGGAGTGTTCACAAGATAATTTATAACAAATCTAGACAAATCTAGATGCGCGCGCCATTCCTGAGCTTCTGCCAAAGCCTTCCCGCCTACAAACGGGGGGCTGCGAGCACGTGAGCGACACGTCACTACTATAGCGTCATCACCAGGTGGGGGCACAGGGCGGGGGGTGCCCAGGTTGACAGGACATGTAAGGTGGAGTAATTAGGGGTAGTGAGCAGTATACAGGATCAGTAGTACTATTAGAGTTAATATGAGTTAGAGTCATAGGTACATACTAGGTTATATATTGTAGGGTAGTTATATATAGGGTATTGGATGTCTCGATGGCCGCGCACGACGGCACGTGCAAACACATCGCAATGGACATCGATTCACGCGCCTGGCCGCTCGTAGAGTCGGGGTAGGTTATGAGAGAAAGACCGCTCACGGCCGGTGGGGGTCTGGTGGAGATCTGCGGATGGACGCCGCGGGCGCGCGCTCCCCGCATCATTATCAGATAACGCCGCAACCACGCCCTTGTGTATGACAAGGGAGACCCCCACTCCATTGTTTAGAGAGGAAGACCGCGCCACCCTTCCCATCATATCAGAGACCCCACGCCCCCCCTCTATCATTATCAGACACTCCCCAACACCACCTTGTTAGGAGTAGGAGACCCCCACCCTTCCCATCATATCGAGGACCCCCTCCCCTAGTATCAGAGAGAGACACCCCACCCTCCTGCCTTGTTAAAGGCAGAAACGACACCCCCTCCACTTATCAGTATCAGAGACACCCCTCCCTCCTTTGTAATAGAGAGACGCGCCCCCCCACCCTCCTCTTGTTAGAGAGAGACACCCCTCCCTCCCCATCATATCAGAGAGCCCCTCCCCTAGTATAGGACAGAATCTCCCTGCCATTCTTTTTTAACAGAGAGAGGACCCTCCCCCCCCCTCCCCCTCCCTGTATCAGTTCGGGACACCGTCTTCGTGTTATCGTCGTATATAAAAAACTTGGAACGACCGTGCGTACGTAAAATACTCTTCGCGGCATATAAAAAACAGAAGGTTCGTTTCGCTCGGTCCTCTCTGCTGCTCTCTCTCTCTCTCTTCTGTCTCTCGTGTCTCATGGCCTCCTGGTCTCTGACATCTCTGTCCTCCTGTCTCTGTCTCTGTTCTGTCCTTCTGTCTCTGTCTCTGTCTCTCCTACTCTCTCTCTCTCTCTCTCTCTC